AACGAAAAAAAAGCGTTTGAAAACTGATTTAACGTGCATGCACTGAATGATATCCAAAATCGGGAAGAGGTTTAAACGATAGGTTTTTGTTCCGTGTATCTTATATTTGTATAAATCAGAGTTTTTAAAAATAAATCCTTAATTTATTCTCAATTTGCACTTGTAACAAATTTAATTATCTAAAAATGATTAATTCCAGGATATTTATGAATTAACAAAATTAGCTGTAAAAAATGCGCTATTTTTTGATGAACCACTACGACCACAAAATAGTCGGATTATTTTTCGAAGAGATTGTGGAACAAAGTTACATTGTCGTATCCCTGACATTAAACAAGAAGTCAAACATACACCTCAAGTGTGTAACTTGAAGCGGCGACAGCTGTTAAGTGAGTTTAACTATTTTTTCAAAATATTGGCGAAAATTGCTTGCGAGAATCATAAGCGCATATATCCTAAATTACAAGTACAGTCCGCACGGAAAGTAAAGGCGATTAGTTTTTTTTTAAAAAAAAGAAAAGAGAAGTTTTTGAGAACTACACAAAAAAATTCTCATGCTCTTAAAAAATCAACACATGATACATTCTCTTCCCATGTCAACGCAGGCTTGAATGCCATTTGACATATCAAAAAATTATAACTATTACTATTACTAATAATACTACTTAAATTTACTCTTCACGATTTTATTTATAAAATAATATAGTTTTTAATACAATTCTTTAAGCCAAACATTTTTTCTTAATGAGCGAAGACTCATTAACTTGAGTTAAATTGTCCAGACCAGGATATGCATTACCGTTACGGCTTTCAAAGGGTGGAGATACATTTCGAGATAGAGGTTAATAGAAATGCCATGTTTTTCACACCAGCCTTTTTTAGGAGGCCAATTATATGGTAAAATTTTTCAGCCATTACTTTCCGTGCGGACTGTATAAGCCAAAAAACGCGAAAGATTCAAACATTAAGAAATTGGTTTTTGCAAACAAAAAAATACGCGTTTATTTTGTCACCTAAATCACCGTCGCCTTCAATAAATAAAGTTATAAATAATACAA